TCTATGAAGCCTCTAAAACAACTGAGATGGATGTTGGGACAGGCCCACGACATCGTAAAGAACTGATAATAAACTGAAAGCAATAAAAGGGATCCTCCGGAATGCAAAGAGGCTTACCCACAAACTCTGAACTGCTCACTGGATCAACGATGCGCTAGATGCTGATCCTAGTTACCTGCGTCTGCATCATAAGACGATGCAGGCCAACTGGCATCAGTACATTGAATGTTTGAGTATGCGAGTTGGAATGCTAAAACAACATAGGCTTGAAAGAGAATCTGAAGAACTTACTTGGCTCAACTTAACTCAACATAACTGGACTCATTTCAATATAAACCAATTTAAAAACAAGTGCAATATAAGGAAAAGTTGTTGAACAACATGATGTCAACTCTATGTATTTAGAAATACAATAACAACTCTGTATATATGCAAAGATACAATATAATGAACTCTGCTTGTATATGAAAAATATAAATATGTCTGATGTATATAAATATACAAAATAATGTTGGGGGAGTTTCTTTAACCGACAACCATCACATAAGAGCTATTGTGATGATACAACAATCTCCCTCACGCTGCCAGTGCATCCTATACCCTGCCCAGGTATAGAACATGAATTACTAAGTGGATCCACTAGTCTATGCGAAAAGGATTCATCTAAAAAGTATGAACCTTTTCTACCCATGATGGCTACATGATTTATGGGGGCTGATAGTTGTATGAACTCTTCCCCATATTGGTGCTCAATACTACTCCCAAAATATGATACTAGCTCTTTATGTTTAAAAACATACTTCTTTCTGTGATTTGAGATTAGTGCTCAAAAAAACTTAGCTCAAAGGCTATCTTGGAAATCAAAGTTTCCTCTCTTGCTTCATTTAGAAAGTGATTACTCTTTTATGAAAACTTGCCCGAAGGCTGTTTGGGAATCTCAGTTTCCGTTATTATTTAATATGTGAAAACATTTTAAATCTCTTTGGGAATACTTAGTCCCCATATACATTTTGAAGAAATGAGCTTCAATCTATACTCTTTACTCTTTTCTCAACTTGAACTTTAAGTCTTAAAACAAGGTTGAAAACATTTGCAAAAGACTTCTTGAAAAGACCCTGAGAACTTCCCAGACTTGGTTCTTGGCTTTACTTGACTTAGGTCTTAAATTTCCTTGAATTGGATTATGGATTCAAGGTTCATGATCTCATGTTTATGGATGATTTCATTATGTTTAGATGTACCTTAGCGTGTTGGAATCAACTAGAAAACATAGGTGCATTGCTAAGGAACAACTACGAAAAGATGGGGGAAGAATGGGAAGAACTGGCGTCCATGCCGCTCTGAGAGGCGGGGGGCGCCAGCCCTCAACATTTAGAGAACGAGTTGGGGCGCTCTGGCTGGCGCGTCGCCCCAGAGCCCCATATTCAGGGACTGCTTTGGGGCGCGCTGGCTGGTGCGACGGCCCACTCCTTTCCACAGTTGTTTGACGACTTTTCTTATCCATTTTTCAACTCTAAACCCTATGAACTTCAATGGTTCTTTCCCCAAACATTTAGGATCATTTATACCCTCAATACATAATAAATTTAAACTGAAATTACACCCGAAAACTTAAATCAAATCGCAAGAAACTTCAACAAAACAACCCACAAGAATTCAAACGAATTTCATCAAGAGCTCAAAGGATTTACTTTCAAATCACACATATTTCGCTGAATTGAATCATGATTGGCGCGTGGGTAAACTAACCCAACACTATGTGATCTCACATATCTTTTAGGGCTCACCCCCGATGAAATCCACAAGGTACCCTTGACGTAATCGATGAATCTTGGGCGTTTTTTCCTTTCTCCTCTTTTCTCCTCTTCTCCAAGCCCTAGCGTAAAATTAACTTTTCTAAAACTGACTTAAGTCTGACTTTACCCCAATTAAACTCCCAAAAATGAATTAGAATAATTAGGTAAGGAAAAGACTAAATTATTCCAAAATCCGGATTGGACATTTCCTTAATCCAACAACCCTACTTCCAAAGGGCATAACTTACCCATACAAACTCAGAATCACGCAAACTTGGCGGCGTTGGAAAGATCATTCCGAGAGATTTCCAACCATATCTGGATCTACACCTAACTCATCCTGAGATAGGAGTTATGGTTGTTTGAAGTTGACTAAAAACTCACCTTTTTCCTAACTTACGTAAATTTCTAGATTTTCATTCTTTCCAAAACTGACTATTTCAAATTCTTAGCTTCTTCCTAGCTATTTCAATTTACGAGATGTTATAATATCTACCCTTGGGAATATTCGTCCTCGAATGAGATTATTCTTAATAGGCTACGGGTGTAACATGCAACACTTATATCAAACACCCACAAGCAAATGCAAAACAACATGCCAACTTGTAAATAAATACTAAGAAAAAGGATTAGTACCTTGATCTGAAATTTCTATGGGTTCGAAGAGATGTGAATATCTCTTCTTCATACTATTCCACCAGTAGACTTTTCTCAAGTCACGACATATCTTGGTGGAACCCGGATGAATGGAATACCTGGAGCTATGAGCTTCCTCCATTATCCTCTCTTGGGTTCCATCCACTATTGGTACACACAACCTACCTTGATGTCTCAGCACACCATCTCCCCCTTGTTCAAAAGCTAATGCTTTTTGCTTATGAACATTTGCCTTCAATTCAAGCAAGATAGGGTCTTGGTTGTGCTTTCCTTTTACTTCTGACACTAATGATGATTCAGTCCCATTCATCACCACTATTCCTCCTTCTGTGGAATCCATTAATCGAACTCTTAATCTTGCAAGTCTATGCACATCTTTTTGCTAACTCTTTCTTACCTTCTTCAAAATGGGCGGTACTACCTATAGATAACCTTCCCACCTCCTCTGTCTGAGACTAAGCTCTTTCTGACTAAACACATACTGAAGACTTTTGCGATCGGTGAACACATTCACATAAACACCATAAAGATAATGGCGCCATATTTTCAAAGCAAATACTACAACAACCAACTCTTCGTCATGGGTTGGGTAATTCTTCTCATGAACTTTCAATTGTCTGGAGGCATAAGTTATAACCTTGCCATTCTGCATTGACACACAACCCAAACCAACTCTAGATGCATCATAATACACCACAAAACCTTGAGTACCCTCTGGTAAAGTTAACACTGGGGCAGTAGTCAACCTCTTTTTCAATTCCCAAAATCTTTTTCACAAGCTTCAAACCATTGAAATTTCACTGTCTTTTGAGTTAACTTGGTCAAAGGAGATGAAATAGATAAAAATCCCTCGACAAACCTTCTATAATACTCAGCCTAACCCAAGAAACTCCTAATATCGGCTGGAGATGTGGGTCTAGGCCAATTCTGCACTCCCTCAATTTTCTAAGTATCAACTTTAATTCCCTCTCCAGACATAATATGGCCTAAGAATGCCACAGACTCAAGCCAAAATCCACACTTATAGTCTTTAGCATATAACTCTTTATCTTTCAAAGTCTGAAGGACTATTCTGAGATGACTAGCATGATCTTATTCATTTCATGAATAGATTAGTATGTCATCAATGAAGATGATAACAAACATATCTAAATAAGGTTTGAAGACTGTATCCATAAGATCCATGAATGTTGCTGGTGCATTATCCAAACCGAACGACATGACCAGAAACTCATAGTGACCATAACGGGTCCTGAATGTTGTCTTTGGAATATCACATTCCCTTACTTTCAACTGATGGCAGCATGATCTGAGGTCTTTTTTCGAAAAATAGGAAGCACCCTGAAGCTGATCGAAAAGATCATCAATTCTCGAAAGAGGATACTTGTTCTTGATGGTAACCTTGTTCAATTGGCGGTAATGTGTACCCATCCGAAGGGAACCATCTTTCTTCCTCACGAACAAGACCAGACCGCCCCAACGTAAGACACTTGGTCGAATAAAGCCCTTATATAATAGATCCATCAACTCTTCTTTTAACTCTTTCAACTCTGTTGGTGCCATTCTATATGGAGGAATAGATATCAGATGAGTATCTGGAAGAAGATCTATACCGAAGTCTATCTCTCTCTCAGGAGGGACTCCGAGATGATCATCTGGAAAGACTTCTGGAAACTCTCTTTCTACAGAAACTGACTGAATAGGAGGTACCTCAACACTGGAGTCATTAACTCGGACTAAGTGATAGATACACCCCTTAGAAACGAACTTCCTTGCCTTAAGGTACGAAATGAAATGACCCTTAGGCACTGCTGAACTGCTTTTCCACTCTAAGACTGGCTCATTTGGAAACTGAAACTTGACAACTCAAGTTCTACAATCAACTGAGGCATAACAGGCATGAAGCCAATCCATACCAAGAATGACATCAAAATCTACCATGTCTAACTCAACTAGATCAGGCATGGTACTCTTGTGATTGACGAAAACAGGACAATCACGATAGACTCTCTCTTCTAGAATAGAATCACCAATAGAAGTAGAAACACTGAATGGCTCACTAAGTTGCTCAGGATTAACCTCAAAATTCATAGCAACATATGGAGTTACAAAAGACAAACTCGCTACTGGGTCTAGCAAAGCATAAACAGTAAAGCCAAAGACTTGGATCATACCAGTGACAACATCTAGCTAATCCTCTTGCTCTTGGCAATTGTTGATATCATAAAAGCGGTTTGTTCCTCCTCTAGTACCGGAAGTAGCCTCTCTAGGTGCAGCTCTGTCTGGTGGAGCAACTGAAGAAGAATGGGCTCTTTTTCCCCCATTACCTTTACCTTGCCTATTTTCAGGACAGTCCTTTATAAAGTGACCGTTCTGACCACACTTGAAACATCCAGTAGAGGCCATACGACAAATACCTGGGTGGTTCCTACCATACTTAGCACAGGGAAGATGCTTACTACCCCTTTGTGCCATACTACCTTGAGAATAGGCAGACTTAGCTCTGAACTCGTGTCATGATGTCTTAGCCCTCTTATTCTTAAACTCTTAGCTATCCTTCAGCTTATCTTCCTCAACTTGTTGTACATAGATCATAAGCCTTGCTAGGTCCATATCCCCTATCAGCATAGCTGCCTTGCCATCATTGCTTGACTGACGAGACAACCCAACAACAAATAAACTCATCCTGCTTGTCATGTCAGCAACCATCTCTAGAGCATAGCGGGAAAGTTGTGCGAACTTCAGACTGTACTTAAGAACACTCATGGACTCCAGATTAAGGGTGAGAAACTCTGTTATCTTTGCCTCTCGCAACTCACGGGGAAAGAAAAGTCCTATGAGAGCACTCTAAAAAACAACCCAACTCACTATTGGCGCATCTTCAGCCCTATTCTTTTTCCATTGGTCAAACCAGATTCTAGTGACACCCTTCATTTGGTATGCAGTTAGTTCCACCCTCTCCATATCGGCAACATGCATCACATCAAATAACCTTTTAAGCTCCTCAATAAAGTTATCCAGATCCTCAGTGACACTTGAACTTGTGAAGCTTGGTGGGTTCATCCTTAAAAGCTCACGGACCCTTGAAGTATTAGCCACTTCCTGTCGTTTACCTCTCTGTCCAACTTGATAGGTCACAACTTGACTTAACATCCAGATAGTTTCACGGAATTCAGCATTGGTGACCTCTCCTTGGGGTCGCACTTCTAGTGCATTAGGTACCCCTTGTTCCTTGACATTTTTCCTAGTAGGACGACCTCTGACTGCTCTTCGTGGAGGCATGATTATCTGAAAAGCACGCACAAGCACGAATTAGAGGGAAACTTTTTAGAGATAAACTCTAACGCGTGAAATGAGTGTGAAAGAAGTGAAGCAATTCCTAAATGTTGCAGTATCCTAATTATAGATGTGGCGCGCTTCACATCGATAACTAGGACTCTACAGACACAACATCATAGACTCCCTAGGACTCTTGAAATTTGTGTTCTGATACCAAGTTTGTTACGCCACGAGCCTACACCCTGGACGTGGCCAGCACTCGAAGACCATTGCTAGACTCAAACGAACCCTTGGCCTAGCTTACTTACTCGGTGGAAGACTTAGACATAAGAAAGAGAATCCAATACAAGATAACTCAACATGTCTCAAACTAAACTCATAATGTTTTAAAAATAAACATTTAACTTAGCCAAAATGGCAACTCAAATCTGAATATAAGCCAATAACAAAATGATGACGAAGGAACTAACATCTGAATGACTATCTATGAAGCCTCTAAAACAACTAAGATTGATGTTGGGACAGGCCCACGACATCGTAAAGAACTGATAATAAATTGAAAGTAATAAAAGGGATCATTCGAAATGCAAAGAGGCTCACCCACAGACTCTGAACTGCTCAGTTGCTGGATGCTGACCCTAGTTACATGCGTCTGCATCATAAGATGATGTAGGACAAATGGCATCAGTACATTGAATGTACAAGTATGCGAGTTGGAATGCTAAAACAACATAGGCTTGAAAGAGAATTTGAAGAACTTACTTGGCTCAACTTAACTCAACATAACTAGATTCATTTCAATATAAAGCAATTCAAAAACAAGTGCAATATAAGGAAAAGTTGTTTAAAACATGATGTCAACTCTATGTATTTAGAAATACAATAACAACTCTATATGTATGCAAAGATACAATAAGAACTCTGCTTGTATATGAAAAATACAAATATATCTAATGTATATAAAGATACAAAATAATGTTGTGGGAGTTTCTCTAATCGACAACCATTACATAAGAGCTATTGTGATGATGTAACGATCTCCCTCACCTGCCAGCGCATCCTATACCCTACCCAAGGTATAGAACCTGAATAACTATGTGGATCCACTAGTCTATGCGAAAATGATTCATCTAAAAAGTATGACCCGTTTCTACCCCTGATGGCTTCATGGTTTATGGTGGCTGATAGTTGTATGAAATCTTCCCCATATCGGTGCTCAATACTACTCCCAAAATATGATACTAGCTCTTTATGTTTAAAAACATACTTCTTTCTGTGATTTGAGATTAATGCTCAAAAACTTATCTCAAAGGCTATCTTGGAAATCAAAGTTTCCCCTCTTGCTTCATTTAGAAAGCAATTACTCTTTTCTGAAAACTAGCCCGAAGACTCTTTGGAAATCTCAGTTTTCGTTCTTATTTAAATGTGAAAACATTTTAAATCTCTTTGGGAATACTTAGTCCCCATATACTTTTTGAAGAAATGAGCTTCAATCTATACTCTTTACTCTTTTCTCAACTTGAACTTTAAGACTTCTTGAAACCACTCTGAGAACTTCCTAGACTTGGCTCTTGACTTTCCTTGACTTAGATCTTAATTTTCCTTGAATTGGATTATGGATTCAAGGTTCATGATCTCATGTTTATGGATGATTTCATGATGTTTAGATGTACCTTATAGTGGTGGAACCAACTAGACAACATAGGTACATTGCTAAGGAACAAATATGAAAAAATAGGGGAAGAATGGGAAGAACTGGAGTCCCTGGTGCTCTTACAGGTGCGGGGCGCCAGCCCTCAACATTCAGAGAATAAGTTGGGGCGCTCTGGCTGGCGCGTCGCCACAGAGCCCCACATTCAGGGACTACTTTGGGGCGCGCTGGCTGTTACGATGCCCCACTCCTTTCCCCAGGTGTTTGACGACTTTTCTTCTCCGTTTTTCAACTCTAAACTCTCTAAACTTCAATGGTTCTTTCCCCAAACACTTAGGATCATTTATACCCTCAATACATGATAAATTCAAACCAAAATTACACCCGGAAACTTAAATCAAATCGCAAGAAACTTCAATAAAACAACCCACAAGAATTCAAACGAAATTTATCAAGAACTCAAATGATTTACTTTCAAATCAGACATATTTCGCTGAACTGAATTATGATTGGCGCATGGGCGAAATAACCTAACGCTATGTGATCTCACATACCTTTTAGGGATCACCCCTGACAAAATCCACAAGCTACCCTTGATGAAATCGACGAATCTTATACGTTCTTCTCCTTTCTCCTCTTTTCTCCTCTTCTCCAAGTCCTAGCGTAAAATTAACTTTTCTAAAATTGACTAAAATCTGAATTTACCCCAATTAAACTCCTAAAAATGAAGTAGAATAATTAGATATGGAAAAGACTAAATTACCCTTCCAAAATCCGAATTGGACATTTCCTTAATCCAACAACCCTACTTCCAAAGGGCACAAACTTGGTGGTGTTGGAAAGATCATTCCAAGAGATTTCCAACCATATCTGGATCTACACCTAACTAATCCTTATATAGGAGTTATGGTCGTTTGAAGTTGACCAACAACTCACCTTTTTCCTAGCTTAAGTAAATTTCCAGATTTTCATTCTTTCCAAAAATGACTATTTCAAATTTTTAGCTTCTTTCTAGCTATTTCAAATTGTGAGATGTTACAATTGCATTGCATATATTTATCATTTGTGAACTTGTGAGTTCCTTTCAGTGAAATTTGTGATTGATGAAGTTGATCTTGTATTTTATTGATCTGTAATTTTTGTAATTGAGTTGTGTGCTATGAAACTATGAAAAGTTAGGTTGGGTTGATTTTATGCAGATTATAATTTTGGAGGCTCGGTTGAGGTGGTAGGAGTACCCATATTATATATTCTTAACTTGTGTTTAAGAGTTCGCTTGTTGAGTACCACGTGGTTTGGTACTCACCCCTTGCTCTACATTTGTGTAGTTTGTCAACCCAGATCTTCACGATACTCTCTCTTATCTTCTTGTCTGAGGCTTTCTATGGAGATTTGTGAGGCAGCTGATTGTCATCTCATCAGACCTTTTTACTCCTACTTATGATCTTGTTCTACTTTATAGACAACATCATTTGAGACTTGTTTATTTCTTTCAAATCTATTGTAATACAATAGAGACTTGTACATGTGACAATCAGGTTTTGGGGGTATATGTAAGTTAATTTAATTTCCACATTATTTTATTGTATTAGACTTTTATTGTCACAACCTGAGCCTACACCCTGGACGTGGCCGACACTTGAGAACCATTGTTCGTCCCCAAGCGAACCCTCATCCTAGCTGACTACAAGCGAAAGACTAACTGAAGCATACAAAGCTTAAAAAGTGAATAAAAATTCAATAAACCCAACTTTGCAAAACTCACTCAAAAGAAAACTCTGAATACTATAATATATGCAACTCTCCCCAAAATGGGAAACTTAGGTCTTTAAAACATTTAACAAAATAAATGAACAGACTTTTGAAACTCTATTGTCTGTCTATGAAGCCTCTAACTGGCAAAGATGGAGGTCGGACAAGACCCACGACATCCTGACAAAATTGAAAAGTAAATGAAATCCTCCGGAAGCAAAGAAGGTTCACCATAGCTAACTCGAACTCCATGTGGTATCAATGGAGCTTCTATTGATGACCCTGAATACCTGCATCTGCATCATGAAACGATGCAAACCAAATGGCTTAGTACGTGGAATGTACATCATGTAACGAAAATTCTAAAGCATAAACATAAGCTTAAAACTGGTAAAAAAGAAGCATACCTACCTCTTCTCAACTCACTCAACTCAACTCAACTCAACTCAAGAGTAAGATACTGAACTCAAAGATTAGATACTCAACTCAAGGATTAGATACTCACCTTCAAAGATATGATACTCGACTCTGGGTACTCAACTCAATATAGAGCAACAATACACATGCAATATATGGAAAGCTTTCAAAACAGTAGAAATCAACTCAGTGTATTAAAGAATAAAATAACAACTCAATTTATATATAATAATATATAATATAACTCTGTGGGAGTTTCACTCACCGACAACCACCACTATGAGCCTAAATGATGATACACCGCGTTACCTACGCTGCCAGAACTGTCTTATACTTTGCCGTCATATAGACCGCCTTAAGTAAGTGGATCTACTAGTCTATGCTAAAAAACACTTAAGAAATCATCTAAAAAATATGATCTTTTACTACCCATGATGGCTACATGATTTATGGAGACTTGAGTTATTATGAACTCGCATCCCCATATCGGTGCTCAATACTACTCCAAAAAATATACTTAGCTCATATTTTTTAAAACAAAACTTCTTTCTTTGGTTTTAGATAATTACTCAAAACTTAGCTTAAAATCTCTCTTGAAATCGATGTTCCCTTTCTTGCTTAAATGTGACAACATTTTTAACTATTGGGAATACTTAATTCCCGGATAATCTTTGAAGAAGTGAACTTTTACTCTTACTCTTTAGTCAACTCAAAGCTTAAGTCTTAAAACAAAGTTAAAACGTTTGTAAGAGACTTCTTAAAGTATGGTTCATGCCTAAATATGGTGGTGAACGACTTGTTGTAAGGTTTTCAATAACCATAGATAGAACTCAATACTTGGAACTCAAAAACTTCAATGATACTACTCATTTCAAGAATGCTCAACTCAGAGAGTTCATGAGGAATTATGGGCATGAACTAATCATCTCAAGGACTCAAAGATACTTCTGAAAAGGGATTAGGAACTCAACACTTAAGACTTAGAACTTGAAGATATCACTCTTCTAAAAGATGCTCAACTTATGAAGTTCATGCAGAATTATGGGCATGAAACAACTCAACTCGACGGTCTACATAACAATATGAAACTCATGAATACGACTCTTTTCATTGTCATACTTACTTCCTCAAAACTTAGCTCAAATCGATAATGGATCTCAAAGGATTCACAATTGAACTCTAA